CACAGCTTGAAAATTGGCTCAATATTACCAATATTATTTGTAATATTCAATATTCCTCCGTACACGGCCAAGGAGAGTTGACGACCCCTCGAATTTGGTCGTTTTGGCACACTTTAACCCTTTGGGTTCTATTAACTTTGCGATTTCGACTCTGATTGGTTCTGAGCATTGACATTTCCTGTTTAATTTTGCAAGAGGAATCCAAATCTGGGATTGTACTAAAAATTTGATAACTTTTAGCAAATTACAATTTTACAAACTTTTCATGGGATGTTCAGTCATAAAATGACTAGAAGTCATTTTATCTTACAAAAAAGCATCTTAAAAAGGTTTATTACACTCACAACTAATTTTCTCAATAGCAATGTACTTGCAAGGGACCGAGCAATATTAGAGCCACTTATTGTAAGATAAGCCGTTCAAAATCAGAACGAGATTTATAATTCTCTTAAATGGACTAGATTTTTCTAGAGCCATATTATTTCTAATGATACTGAAATAAAATGGTGAGAGAATTTAAATTACATTCTATGATAAGGTATATTACAGAACTTTCAATTATTAAACTAAATGACTCGTGATCATTAAAACACCTCAGAGAGATCAGATGAAAATGAATCGAAGAATGACAAATCAAAGTTTTCAATATGGCAGGAGTTTTAACACATTATAATGAATATTATTTGATATCATTTCACTTCAACTAGAGGCAAGTGAGGGTATTGAAAAAAAAATTCCAGCTGATTGTAACAAGGGTTTGCCTTACCCAGAGTTTTACGTTATTTGGATGTTCTACTATCGTGTGATACATTGTAAGTTCAATATCTTAACATTATTCATTTGTTGAGGTCAAAAGTCACCACACTCCCAATTCTAATTACTGGGGACTGAGGACTGAACATGACAAATAGAACGAAACTTTCAAACTGGTAACATAAGTAACATTAAAAATGTAAAATAGCAAATCGAATATGCGAATAACTTTACCATTTCGATGTTGAGTCCCATTTTTATTTTTGGTCTTTTTCAAATATTCCAATGCCCCCCCCCCCCCTTCTTCAATCACGCTTCCCTGGCCTTCTATGTATTCTTTACTGTGTTCTTTAAAACGTTACCTGTGAGAATTTTAGCACACTGACAAACGCTCAGCCACTACGGGCTGCTGCACGTACTCCTACGTAATAATAATAATAATGTTGTTCCGTGGTAGCATGATGACCTACGCAACGTTTCGTTCCGATGCAGTCAGGAGTGCTCCCCCACCTTCCCCTACGGAAGCTAATGAAGCGAACATTCAACAAACGACGTAACTGAAACTTCACCAAGAACCCTAAGAAAATAAGTGAAATCGGAGAAATCCCAGACAAGTACAAGCAGACTCTTGACGGCCGTGAATTCTTCATGTACGATTCCTGGGACGTTTCTGCACTGCTACCGGACTAAAGTGTTAAACAATGCTGTAACACAAGCTGTGGTTGACAAGTGCCGGGCCATGCGTATTGCTGCCCCAAATCCTATCACCATCATTTCCGACCTGGAGCCTGGCATTGCAACACCTGTAATCAAGCCTTCCAAAGTAAGGAGATATGTGTTTGTTTCACCTCAGGCAAGCGGCCTGGAAACACCTGCAAAGGGAAGGCCTGCAGACTGCGTATCGGGACCCGGAGGATGAAACCATAAGCAACGCTTTCTAGGAATTCGTCGGCCTGGCCTTCGTTTCGGTGAACGACGTACCTAAAACGTGTGTGGAAGTCGTCAACAACCTGCAGTCAGACCGCATGATCGACTTCGGCGATTACTTCGAGCGCACGTACATCGTCGGCCGAAGAAGAAAGGGAAATCGACGCGGAGCACCGCCACGTTACCTACCCGTGTGGTGGAACAAATATCGTGCTGCTCGTGAGAATGAGCCGCGGCCACAGTCGCTTCCAGACGGTCTCTCTACAAGCTCATTGCTGAATTCCAGAAAGAAGTGGTCGATGTCCGAGTCTTGATGCAGAAGCTCGACGGGGCACGAAAAATTCGGCTGGCTCAAAAGATAAACCACGCTAGAATTAACGAGCGACTTACACCAATACCGGCCGCTACCAAGTATTCAAGACAACACACCGCCTGCTCGACTCCACCTGCCTGCGGTACCATTGATCTTTCACGTAGGTGAGTAGATCTAGATCCGTGTAATCCTGCAATCCACGCTATCATACAATGTGCACAAGAGAAGAACGAGTCGACATTTTCTTCTTTCTGAGATCCTCCCCGGCTGCCGGCCAACTTACTTCGCCGGCGTGTACCCACCCCCACCCCCCGGCACACCCGTGCGCGGTGTGCGGGCCTCGCTCCAGCCCCGGGCCGCCGGGGGGTGACACTGCGTCGCGGGCGTACAGGCCGTGCACTTGCACGCGAGCGTCGCCAATAATTGAGGCCGCCCGCACGCATCCTCATGACTCTTTCATCCAGTACGGCCACGCCTCGCGCTTCAGGCGGCCGGGTTGTGCCGCGTCGCTGGCACTCACCGTAGAGTGCGGCTCGCAGACGTCAGCTGGCAGGACCACCGACCAGCACTTACCGGAATCGTTACAGGACAATATCTTATGCAAGGTGACCTATTTTTTTCGCACACACTAAATGACTACGGATAAGTTTTGTATCGAGGCAAGATTTGTCCTTGTACACGTCTCAAACAAATTAGTATCTTGAAAGCAGATAATAAGATTTTT